TTCTTATAGGTCTAAGGGGATTACAGAGGCTCTCGGACTTCGGTTTTGGGGCCTGGGGGATGTTCTGGGTTTAGGGTCAAAGGGTTTAGGGCTTAGAGCGTTTTAAGCCCTAAGCCCTAAGCGCGTAGGGGTGCTGCTGTAGGTTTTAGGGCGCTTTCTTAGGGCTTGGGATGACGAAGGTGTAGGATTTAGGGTTCAATGTATAGGCCTTGGAGTTTTGGGTTTAGGGTTTAGGGTTTAGGGTTAAGCTTGGGGCCTAAGCCCCTAAACCCTAAACCGATTATGTTGGGGCTCCAAGAGGCCAGGGGTTCTACTATCCCTGGCGTCCCGGAGCCCTAAATTCTAAACCCTAAGCCCTAAACCTTAAACCCTAAACCCTAAGCCCTAACCCCAAAACCCTAAACTCTAAACCCTAAACCCTAAACCCTAAAGTCTAAACCCTAAACCCTAAACCCGGGGCCCACATGACTTGCAGCTGCCAAGCACAGGACTGAGACAGAGAACGTCCTCTCCGCAGCAAGAAGCTTTTCTCATCACTGGCATACTTGCAGCTTCCATGTTGGGGGGATATGTGGGATATATGCGAGGGGTCATGTAGGAATATGTAGGGTTCAGGGTTTGCAAAAAGAAGGGGTACTTTTTTTTTTGGGGGGGGGGGAGGGAGTTTAGTATGTTGGGGGTCTATATTGGCATGGTTATCGGTTGTGTGAGCTATAGTCCAAACTCCAGTAACCCTGCCCTGTATTAGCCCCCGTTAAGGAGTTTAGACTGTAGCTCATGTAGGAAGGGAAGTTGCGCCTAAACCCTAAACCCTAAACCCTGGAAGGGAAGTTGCGCATTCATCAGCAGTTGCCATGCCTCGGATGCGGGCTGTACTGCGTACCGCAAGATCACGTAGTGAGGAAGCAGTTCAGGGTATAGTTTAGGGTTTAGGGTTTAGGGCTTGCGTTTAGAGTAAAGCAGTGGCCCATGAGCACTCCTCTTTGGATGGGTATTTCCGTGGCTGGGATGCAAATCTTGAGCTCCCAAAGGCATGGTGCCGCAGTCTAAGTTGCTTGAAAGGATACATACTTAATGCCGAGAACGACCCTTACCTTCCCTAAACACAACCCTAAACCCCTAAACCCTAAACCCCATACCGTAAGCCCTAAGCGCTAAGGAAAGCTGTTGTCTGTGACTTGCGATTGCTGCGAGCGACTCTCCCACAAGTGGGACATCATCGAGCCGACGCAGCGGGTGCGCGGCACTGTTCAGATTTTTTTTTGGGGTTTAGGGTTTAGGGCACATATTAGGGCCGCTGTTCAGGAGGCTCCCCATGATAAGGATTATAGTGTCTAGCTGCTGGCTAGGGCAGTCCCAAATACAGTTTGGGGGTTGTTCGGCTGCCAAATACAGTTTTGGGGTTGTTCGGCTGCCGAATTCGAAAGGGGTGTGACGTTTAGTGTCCTAGACCTCTAGTGAGTCAAGACCTTCATAGTTTAATCTGGCAGACCCATACTAAACTCAGGGCTTTCGCGCTCCGCGTCAGAGCCTTGTTCACATGGGGAGGGCCAAAAGACGAAATGAGCTACAATCATTCATCTGGGTCACTGTGGAGGTGTTTTTTAACATGTTAAATTGTAGAAGCAAAGTAAGGAACATATCCTTACAAGTTGTGCTTGTATCACAATGAGCACCCTGTCATGCTGGCAAGGAGCTGTGTTTTCAGAAGATGCTTGACAGCTAGCTTTATCAGCGCGTTGGGAACCTAATCTCTGGTCGAGTGGATCAAGCACTGGGGGTTCGTATTCTGATGGTATGGCTTCCATTCTTCGGGTTGTGGCGAGTTTTGCCTGCTGTTTGGCCCAATACCGAAACTCTGACCCCTAAACCCTAAACCGAACCCTACAAGCCCCAAACTCTAAACCCTAAGAATCCTGAACAACTGTTTATCCCTATAAAACCTCACTATAGAGCCCTTATTTACCTTATGAATCCCTTTAATGTGGTGACCTCCTGCGCAGGTCCTCGAGCTATTGCGGTATCCTGGAGCGCGGAAGGCACGACAGCGATTTAGATTTCAGTGTTTAGTGTTCAGGGTCGATGGTCTAGGGTTGAGGCTCTCAAGGTAGGTATCCTACGTGCACTAGGTCGCGTGAGGAGTATTGGTTGCTTTGAGTCTTTGTCACTGGGCTTGGGCCCTAAACCCTGGAACTCAAACCCTAAACCCTAAACCCTAAACCCTAAACCCTAAACCCTAAACCTGCTTTTCGGGTCCAGGCAGGCACCAGGGCCAGCTTCGTCAGTAATCAGACATACCCTAATGCATGTAGTCCTTGTTATAGGTTTTCAGGGTTTGGGGTGTAGGATTTAGGGTTTAGGGTTTGAGTTGAAATTGACTCCAATTCAAACTAAGAGTTGGACAAAGCGCCGTTGTTCTGATCTGCGGCTTTTCTTTCTTAGAGAGAGGGGTTCTTGTTGTGGAGGTCTAGATTTTGCGGCCTTGCGTATGTCACAAAAGCTCCAAACCCACCCCACCCCCAAATTCAGAACAGAAATCCAGAGACCTCATCTGGGAGTTTCCAGAAGCAGGGGTTAACCTTGTATACCCCAATATATTAAAGTATCACAGAGACCTAAGCCACCAAAGTGCGTAAAACGACAGCCAACGCCCACTGAACACCAGCCAGCGCGGCCATTGTTCTACATGGTTTCAGGGTTCAGGTACCTATACCCTGTTTGAAGGACCAATGTCATTCTGCATACTCTTGGGGTGCGGATATCCCCCAAAAAGGGCCCTCAGAAGTTCCGAAAATCCTCCTGTGAGCTACAGTCAATATTACGGTTAGCAGGGACCATTGAGGGTGGACATAACGATACCTTTCTTGGGCTTTTTGCACAATTCCTCCTTACATATACCCTAGTACCAACCCAGGTCCATGATTTATATGGGCAATATATCCCAAAGCCCCAACCCTAAGTAAAATGGTAATTAGCATCCACTTCATTGTCCATTTTCTTTTCCATTAGATTTCCACCCTAAACCCTAAACCCTAAACCGCAATTTTGACTGTAGCTCACCCGGAATGCTGAACCCGGTAGCCCAGACCCCCTGCTGTACCAACCCGTAGTCCTCGAGGCATCCCCAATTTGATTTAGGGTGCAGGGTGTAGGGCCTAGCATATAGGGTTTAAGGTGTAGGGTTTAGGGTTTAGCGTATAGGGTTTAGGGATCAGCTACTTAAGGAGCATGCCTTTGATGGTGCTAAGATAGCTACTATGACTTGAGCCAAAGTCGTTAATTAAGGGCTCCTGGGCTCCCTGGGTACCTAAACCCCAAACACTTGACTCCAAATGAGCTATAGTCTAAACTCCTAGTATCCCCCTTAGTAACCCCTATAGTAGTCCCCAATATAATCCCCCATATATCCCCCTTTAAGGAGTTTAGACTATAGT